AGAGGAGAGACGCCACAACCCCTACCCCGTTCTCCCCTTGGCCACTTCACTCTCGGCCAGTTTCTCCAGCCGGAGCCTGTTCACAGGCTAACCATGCAGGTGTAAAAAACGCACATTTGGTTAATAGTAAAGTAATCCATCACTATACATTGTACAATTGAATTGCTGTAGCAACTGACCTATTCAAAAAGCTTCCTCACCTAAGTTATATGAACATACATTGTATTACAAATGGCTAACTGTATACTTTTATAAATGCAGAGTCTTCTGTCTTCCACCAACTAGTATTCCTGGCTAATACTCTTCAGGATTAATTTCACCAGTTCCACTTGCAGGATCAGATTCTGAAAAATAAAACACCGCACATGCGTACAATATACTGAGACAGCAAAATTCAGTAACGGTATTCCTTAAGCTCTGTTAATATAGTCCCCACTCTTTAACCTACCCCACTCCCCCCTCGTAATAAGTCTCACACTCCTCAATAAAAGACTACCTTGATGATACGTCATGATAAGAAATCACAAAGTAAAACTTGGCACTCTTAAATTTTTAATCAACCAGATTTATTTTGCAAACATATGTTATTGGACTGCTCTCAATTATTATTTGAGCCCACTTTGTTTCTTTATATGCACTCTGACTATATATATTAGCCTCTCCAGTCCTCCCCCCTCATTGAAAAGCACCCATGTCTACTCAAGACAGGATGAGGGGTCCACTCTTGGTGTTCATGCTTTAAGGCCTGGTTTATGGAAAAATCAATAAGAGCTCGTCGGGCCTATAAGTTGAACAATGGTTCTCTAATTTGTGTTGTAAAACATACCCTCACAAATCTGCAGTTCGCACCAAGCTCGGGAAAATATGCAACCCGCGTTGCAAGCGCGAGAAAACGTACAGCGTCCCACTTGCCCACTTAATTGGAAGTAAGCGTCACCGATCCGCGTAATTAAAATCAAAGCGTTTGGTTTTTGTTTTGTATCTGCTTGATTGGCTGATAATTTAGCATGTTTGCATCGTTGGCAAGAGAATGTCCAACAGTTTTTCTAGTAAGCGTAAAAACATCAAAAGAAATTGAAAAGTAAGTTATGAAATACATATCTATGGGTCGCGACAAAAATTAATACAATCTGGTTGGTTGGTTGGTTGGTTCCGTTGTTATCAAAACAGCTTAAACAAATGTGTCATTACGTCATCCCTAAGGCCAGTTAAGCTATGCCATACCTTCCTCGGTTAGAGCGTCCAATTTCTTTTGGAAAGTATCTTCTGCATTACCTCGGTTGACATTCATTTCTGAGAAAAAACGAAAATGCGTGCGTCAATAACAACGTTCTTAATCGGTGAGTGTATTGAGCGAAAAGTAAGAAAACGGCTCAAGTAGTTCATATCCACCTTTGTTGTCACTAACCTATCCTCGCAAATATCGGCAAAATAAGGCTAAGAAAAGAACAAATGGCATGGAAATTCCATCGTAGAGCAGGGTTTCCCTTCGAAGTGCTCTACAATTTCCTGAAGCTAAGATTTTCCTCATCACTGACGGTCTTTCAATCAAAAATTCTGGGTCCAGTTGTTCAAATTGCGATTCAGTGGATACTTGTTGACAAAACAACTACGCTTTTCACTACTCAGAAAGCTTCTTTTCTATATTCCCCCTCCATCAAGCTTGTAACCGCTAGCCCTGATTTTAACGGTGCAGACCTAGCGAGTATCGTTAGTAGTCAATTTATTGTCTTTTTGCTTACCTTTTTTTCTCAGATCTTGTATCGTTTCTTCAAGGTCTTCGAGGTCCGTTTTGTATTCTTGAAAAGAAAGGCAAAAAAGAAACATAAGCTAAATGGTACGATAAGGATCCTTTGTTCAGTTATTCGTCGTCTACTTTCTTTTAAAGGAGCAAGTATAGATCATAATTTTTTGTGAGAAACGCGGTCGCTTAACAGTTGGCTCGTCAGATGGGATCAGGGCAAAGATACTCACAGCATTTAATTCGTCGGTACTCATATATACATCTTGTAGAGAAATGGTCTGTCAGAGCGGCGTTTCACCCAACACGCCTCAACACTCCCCGGCCATCGATGGCTCGAACCTGGACAACTCAATCTTGAGTCTAGCCCGCTAATCATTAGGTGCCCACCCCCCTCCCACCTCCTTGAAAACCGCGGGAAGCTTCGTGAAATGCTGGTCTGATGTTGACGTAATCTTAGCTTTAGTCTCTTCCTCTTGTGATCTTACCTTTTTTCATGGATACAGATTTAGCTTCCATCACCAAGACGCTGATAAGCAACAAGAAACATACAAAGGATGTACGCATCTTGTTGTCTGCAGAGACAAATAAATATAATATCGATCGGTCAGATGATCAGTGATCTTTAGCGACAGAAACCAATTTTGAGATTGTAGCGTTGAAGTCTATCTATCAACATCAGATGATAGGGATTTTATTGTCTGGAAGCTTCCTGATTTTTTCCCAAGGTTATCCTCACTCTGTTTGGGTAGAGACAAAGACAACCATTGAAATGCTCAGCATTGACCCGGGGGAGGGGGCGGGGTGGATTCAAGTATGCTGGTTAAGTTCCGGTGAGGTGCAAATTAGGCCAAATTGGGAGGACCAAAATGCATCCTTACTAGGTTGAAATCAAACTTAGGACTGTCCATAGCAACTGCTCATAACGTCATCCTCAAGTCCCCAGTTCTCTTCAGCGTAAAACAGGTCTATTGTGGTTTGCGTGTCGGTTACGTTTTTCAATGAGACTTATTCAATTCACCGCACAACTTAATTACGTCTTTTATCAACCCCCAGAAGTCCAAAGACACAGACACAAAAAAAATGCTAACCCAAGAAAATTCCTCATATCGCACTATCATTCTTTGGGACCCTAAGTGAGTTATGGTCCCACTCCAAGTAATGGACTTTTGAAAAGCTTTCTCGGAAGGTTACTATGCTAAGCTATAGCTATTACGCTTTTGTTTCATTCATCCATTAATGGATTGCAAGTGAATATAATTATTAAGGAATTCACAGTTTTGTAATGCGTTAAAAAGGCCGCGAAAAAAGCTTCAAGGTCTTTCATTGTTCGCGAAAACACTAAAACCTCAGTACATGCAAAATTTGCAGCGGATCATAATTGAAGAGAATGTTTAAAATATGCATCTTTAAAAAGAGCATTTAAAGTTAAAGTCCCGGTTCTGAGAAAGTCAATAATTTAAACCCTCTATAAAAGTAAACATACTTGTGACACGAAAAATTAAAAGCCAGTGTTCCAAGTCGGAAATCCTTGTGCCAAAAAATTGAAGCATTCACTCAATTCTTATACATTATCAAACTACAAGTATCACACCGAAATCTTTAACAGCCATACATTTTCATTACATTATACGCAGCGGCCATTTAGAAAAATTCCGGTTGTTTACTTTGAAAATCAAATATATGCGAGCTGATCATAAAGTTTAATATCTTTTCGACAGCTAATATTTTCCACACAAAAATAGAGAGTTAGTTATATATTAGAACTGGTAAATCAAAAAGAACCTCCACATGGACTGTCAGCGCTTTCGCCTTTGCGTAACTTTGAAATTTCATTTCTTTGCTGAAACGAGTTCAGAAATACCGCCTTGAATTTCTTATTTGCCGTGTTGAGCAAAAACTCAAAGCCAGATTTTTTTCGCAATCGTGATGATTCTAGAAAGAAATAATTCACATGAAAGATTGTACATGTTTGACATGTTTTTTTTTTGCTTTTCCAGTTCAAAAGAAACCGAAGTGGAATGCGGGCAACGAAAATGTAATAACTTAGTTTTCAAAGAATGCAGTTAATGATTGCCTCCATGTCAGAGGTTAAAATTGGGCATCTGTGCCGAAAACAAAACGTTTCGTAAATGGTAAAAAAATCTCGCATGCAACTTGATAATTTGCGTCTTAATTCTATAATTTCTAAATACAGTGTTTCTTTTAAGTCTGTCTACATCTATAATACGATCGGTATAGTCATATCTCTTCTAAAAACCGGAATTGTGATGGTGCCAAAACATTGACCTGCATAACTTTACAAGTTTCTCTTCTGCCTTATTTTCTACAAACTAAAATCAATGTAAGCTACCTTTTCTACAGCCAAACTTGCAAGTTTCCAACACTGACAACAAGATGATGGCAGCAAAGAGGTTGCCTTCAACGGATAGAATTTGATGGTTAGTCTTAAAGGCGATGGCAAGGAATCTGCTCACCACCCAAAACTAATCCGTAGCTCTTTAACTCCAGATGGATAACAGCTTTGTTATGCAGGAATTTTTTTTTCCTCACCCGTATTTGCACAAGTATGGGCTTTAATAAAGTGTTGTTAATACTTAACAAGCTCAACAGCGATGTTTACTCAGAAGGTTTAACTTCAAAAGTACTTCAGTAGCTTTGAATTCCTTTGTAAATGAGATGGAATTTCGTAGCAGAAAAGTTCATATTTTTCACTTTTATCAGTTTGAAATTCTTATACTTCCTCTTTGGCAAGAACTATGACCGATCGATGTGAATCATACAGCGTGAGTTCAGTCAGCTTCATGAGCGACATCCATCTATCCTGAACTATTTTAATGCTAATTTTTTCGTTCTTTTAAACAAACATTGTCAGAAAACTTTCAGTTATCGATTCTAAGCCAGAGGTCTCTAGTTTGTTTGTCTCTTTTATGCCGTTTACTAAGTTACATTCATATTCCTAGAGCAGTCTGTTTTTACTGACACCCTAGAGGTCAGTGTACCGTATCTGTCACAGGGGACGGGAGCAGGATGGAAAGATAAAGGAATGCGTAAGGGAAGCGGGAAGTTCTGCCCCCCCCCCCTATCCCCCATTCCCCCCACCCCTTACTCCCATTTTAGTTGTTGATGACAGAAAGTTGTCTTATAACTTAAAAAACAGTGTGTGAAATAACTGAGGTAGCTAACACGGGTACAAAAATGTGTGTAGAGTGAAAAGAATTGAAGAATAACAAGCTAGAAGTGAGACGGGGTCAAGAAATGGGTGTATATCCTTCATTTTTAATTTAATATATCCTCTATCCATCGAAGCAACAGAAATAAGTTGTATTATGACTATATGATGCATCGACATAAACCAATATTTCAAACTGGAAACAAAATTTCACATTTTTTTCTCTTTTGATAACAAGTTTATTAGTTCGTTCTCGACTTATGATGATCGATTCACTTGGGAGACCAGTTCAGTACTCCTCTGGGTTTATTGGAGGCCCCACACCACTTCCGACTGGGAAACCTAAAACAAAATACATACTGTTAATATGTTACAACACAACTCAAGAGAGGATGAGGGTAAGAGAGTTCATCTCCTATATGGGCCGTATTCTTATGGTAATCCTTCTCGAGTTAGTTTTAGACATGGTATCCAGTTCTCCCGCGGATGTTACCTCGCGTGTCGTGGCGCATGATGGTAGTTGATAGTAGTCGGTGATAGATGTAGCATGCGCTTCTGTTTGACCACCAACTATCGATCATGCACTAACATCGACTATCATTCACTTTGAATTTGTTCAAATTCTTCATTGTAGTCGATAATAGTTTTTCCCGCTTAACCACAGGTATGATGGTTGACGATAGTTGATGAATGAGTGAACGAAACTTTATTGCACACTCCCAAAAAATGGGTTTTTCAGTGAACAATAAAAATACAATAAAAATATAATAAAAATACAGTAAAAAATACAATAAATTAAAAAGGGTAACACTATTCTTTTTTCCAAAACTCGTCAAGCATCTTTGCTTTAAAATTTTTCTTAAAGTTTACTGAACCTTTGCACAGTTGTAAATCTTCATCTAATGAATTCCATACGTTTACTATCCTGTATTGAAATGTCCTCTGACGAGTAGCGGTTTTACGTCAAGGAATGTTAAGTTGTTGGGGTTTCTTGTTTGATGATTGTTGGGAGTTTCTAGTTGATGATAGTTAGGCGAGAATCAACTATCACGGATTATCATTGTCCTGACAAAGGCGCCAATTATCAACATCTTACTGCGTCTATGCATGTCGGCTTAGGATTATTCTTATACGCTAAAGAAAACAAGCCTTTAGACGCCATATTCTTACTTGGAACAATTTCATAAACATAGTTCATGTGAGCCACTCCGGCACAAGCCTTGTCACTAGCAGTGTCGCATGCTTCGTATTCCGTATCCACGCATTTGTCGTTTGAATGGTACTTGAAAAAATGCTGAGCCGCGTCCGCACTGCTCCAGCATTCACCGTAAAATTGAATCCCAAAGAATACAAATCCTCTGTTGGCTGCAGCTTCCGCACATCGACAAACAAGACTAAGAGGCAATTGAAAAAGCACAAAGAAAAACAAAGACAACAAAATCAAGTTAATAAGGTCTGTAATGTTAAAAAAAATGCGCAGTTAGACGCTTGCAGCAGCTCTTTACGGGGAATTGGGATTTCCGTGTCCAGTCACTAAAAGTTGATCAATTGTTTAGTGAAGCCGTGTTATTAGAAAGCGCATGCAAATCTCTTTGAGAACATTATTTCAAAACTCTGGTTAGATGGTGCTTATATGGCTAAATTGAACTTTACACAAGCGAGGACTAAATATCAAAGGGAATGAACAAATGAGCCGCAGTTCATTGTCCAATTACAAAGGACGCAGACAATACAGTGAATCAATCAAAACTCGAAGTAATTACATGTACCTGACGCAAAGAGCGGGAAAACGTGTACAGGTGAGTCACGGTTGGTTTTGGTTTTCACTTCTGATTGAAAGAAAACGGGGGCGCGGTTTTTTTATTTACTTTTTTTTTTTCCGAGCCAATCGTGCAGCGTAGTGATGTAATTTAAACCAATTAATGATGCCAAATCGTGCAGCGTAGTGATGTAATTTAAATCAATTAATGATGCCAAATCGTGCAGCGTAGTGATGTAATTTAAATCAATTAATGATGCCAAATCGTGCAGCGTAGTGATGTAATTTAAACCAATTAATGATGCCAAATATGCTTGTCCCTGTTTCTGAAGATTCTCAGTGTGCATAAGGAGTAAGTTAGGTGGTAAGCATATTTCAGGTAGAGGGCATTACTGATACTCACCCAGGTAAATAAGTGTCCCAGTGATCCCAGTCTATCTTCTGACCACTGAACGATTTCCCTTTTTTTCGATCTTGGAACAACAGATCTCCCATAGCTCTCTTGGATGCCTTTTTCTTGTCGTTATAGCAACCAATCTTGGTGTATTTCATTGGGCAAGGGTTATCTGTAGATTAGATAGTGTTAGAAAATATTCCAAGTTCATTGTTTTAAAATTGCCCTTTTTGATCAATGCAGATCTATGACAAGACTAGAGATTGGCTTGTTGAATTTAAGGAGTGTCTCGTTACTATATTAAAATTAAATATTCAGTATTTGACCCAGGTTACCTAGTCTTGTCACAAATCGACATAAAAGTCAGTATATGTATACTGACTTCTGCATTCAGAGAGAATTTTCCCAAAAATACAAGTCCCAAGAGCTCTATAAGCGTTTGAAAATCTTTGTGCTATCGACGAACATTTTTACGATATAAATTAAGCGATTTCTCTGCAAATCATTATAACCGCTATTGAACATCAAGCATTATAAACCACAAAAGAAGTTTTGAAATCAAAAGTAGCTCATTAAGCANAAATCTTTGTGCTATCGACGAACATTTTTACGATATAAATTAAGTGATTTCTCTGCAAATAATTACAACCGCTATTGAACATCAAGCATTATAAACCACAAAAGAAGTTTTGAAATCAAACGTAGCTCATTAATTAAATAAGCAAGCCTCTACGAAAAATGATCATTTTAAGGTCCATGAAACATTTAATATATACCTGACAACACATGTTTTTCCCTAGCAACATCTTTCAGACCTAAAAATAACCAAAAGAAAGTTACAGACTGTATGCGAAAACTCTACGAGTGGATAATCAACAAAGGAGAAAGATCACTTATTTTCTATTTCCGACTAGCTATATTTTGTTTAGGGCGGCAATGTTGACCGACTGCGAGAAAAACTCCTAACTCAGTAAAAATATATCCGAACTAAAATTAGTTAGGGCTTTTTTTTTAACTAGCCTTAAAAACGAGTAAAAGACTTGAAATGTTTTTATTATTATTATTATCATCATTATCATGATTATCATCGTTATCATCGTTATCATCGTTGTCATCATTATCATCGTTATCATCATTGTCATTATTATCATTATTATTATTATTATTATTTATATTGTCTTTAAAGCCTTCCGAGGGGAAGGGGGCAGTAATTCAATTATTTTAAAAGAATCGACCTACCCAAATCACGACGGCTTGATATCATTTTAATGTGATCACTGTAAGCAGCTGTGAGGTATGCAGGCCAAAAGAAAGTGAGAATCCCGAGAAGTACATGCGTGATCATGACTGCCTATAATGGAAACGATGAAGATTAAAATGTGACATCTTTATTCGCCGCGAGTGTTAAAATAGCTGTTACGACTTGGTTGCAAGTTGGACTAAGGCCTAAGCGAAAAATTAAAAAAAAAAAGTAATAAAGTGTGAAAACTACAGTCGAATGGCTGAACAATACGTATTTACTTCAGATAACATGTTTATCTTTTCTCGATGAGCTTCAAAACATTTTATAACTAGGAGTAATCAAGTTAAAATTTTCATTCTTTATGTCCTTATAACCTTTGGCGAATCTAATGAATGGCTGTTTAACATTCGGCAAGTTATTAAATTGAATATTGAGAAATTAGGGACTTCATGCAAAGATCAGCACTACGAAAGAATGTAAATACATTTTAAATAAAGGCCTTTTTTAAATTGCCTTGAAAAGTAAACAAAACGCTTATTAAGTCGCAAAGGCAAAGAAATTATTCCGCGGCTTTGGAACTGAATTATTAGTCAGAAAAACAAGTAATTGGTTTGTTGAACTCATATCCAGAGATTTAGCATTGTTGCTTTGCAGATAGATTTAAATCATAAACTGCTGATATCCCGTCCGCTGACTCGGAAACTTGCCGTTGTGAAATTTCTACAACAATGTTTTTGTCGCATGATGCCTAATACTACAAAGATTGAATATTCAATCCAACGAGAAAAGAATATTAGCAAGCAAAATTGAACTTGTAATTAAGCCCAAGTTTGATAAGCCCAATATTCTGCTAAATCTTTCGCCAAAGAGGATCAACAGAGTACCCATTTAACTCCCTTTAAAGTTTTCACATTTCTCAAATATAAAGCGGCATAGTTCTCTAAAACCTAGCAAACGTGTATGCATTAATGATTACAACTTTCCAAAAGCTCATTTTTACCTTACTAAGAGTCCACGTGGTGACTGCAAAATATTCTTGACAACATTAAACGCCTTCCTTGGGCAGTGGCCCTAAAACTGCAAGCTTCATCCAGCGGAAAAGAACTTTAGTGAAAGTTATTTGGATTCTCTGTGACGTTATGTGATTTAAAGGGACCGCATGCAGGCGAGACACTATTGCTAATAAATGATAATCCAACGTTATTATACCCTGACTGATGTAAATAACATGACGCGAATCACGAAATAGCCTTTTTCACGATTAATTTTTCTCATTTGCATTACAATGTAATCCAACGTGGATGCGGGGCAATTTCGGGCTAAAACTACAAAATAACCCGAAATTGTCTCATATACATGCTAGACTTTATTGTAATGCAAATGAGCAAAGGTAACCGTGAAAGGGGCTCTTAAAACTCCTCCGCTCTATCCGCGTGTCCGTCTCACTAATTGACCTCCATTACGTTTGTTTCCTTGTATTTAAAAGAAAAAGCTATCCTATGATCTGATTGGACAGGAATGATTGACGTACAAGACCTGGCTTAATTAAACGCCTACTTGAGAGCCATGTTGGGTTTAAACATTCAGGCTGACAATAAATATGCTAAATATTTCGAATAACTAATGTGTGTCAAGGTTATTACAAAAACTTAAACTCTAGAAAATTAATACCTACCGACCATAATTCTCATAAGGGACGTGTTTTGCGTGTTTGTTTGGCCTTAGTTTAGACTAACAAGAGCGATAATCCACAAGAAGAGATGAAATGAAATTGATTAGTAGTTCGTACTCATTTCCATTGCCATTTTACAACATTTTCAGTCAAAAAAACTTTCCATGGTTCAGTCACCACATCGAAATTTGGGCGCGAAAGTATGGCCGTGGTTCTGTAAGGGAGCTGGGGCCGAGGAAAGTCACGGTAAAGACTGGGCAAAAGCATAAAAACAAAATGGCGATCTCAATGGTAGTGTTTGTGTTTTTATACGTTTTTCTGATGAGGATTCTTTATAAGACGTTCAGATTACTTGCTGAGTGGGTAAGAAATTTGTCTTTGTGGGTTATAACTTTATTTATTTGATGTATTTCGTGAGTAAGAGCTTGTAACATTCTTGTTTTATCGTTCATTCATTGCTGCCCAAAGTTGCCAGGCGTCTGGATGGGTGAAGAACAAAATCAGCAACATTTGAGAGGCACAATCATGCAACTGAAAAGTGAACAACTGAGGATAAGTGCACAGGTAGCGTATCTATGTTGTTAACAATTTTTTTAGTCAGTGGCTAACGTCTTAGGCTGGCTTCTCGCCACTCTTAAGATCTCTTAAGTTTGGACAGCGGTTGGTCTTGAAGACTAAAAGATTCTACGCTGAAGAGAATGTAAATGGGTTGTGCATGAACTTGAATTGTACCTGTATATCATATCTACATGTATACCGTAAACTTCCGAAAGTAACGACCCCTCGAAGGTAACGATCCCCCGAAAGTAACGTCAAAGAAATGTGGCCGCTAATAAATACCGAAAGTAGCGAGCCCCCGAAAATAGTGGTCACCCCAAAACGCAGACCATGCAGACTGCAGACTGC